GCAGCGGCGGGAATCCAGGTGGTGGGGGCAGCGGCAGAGTCTGTGCCAGGACAGAGGAGGCCGCCCCTGGGGTCACCACCAAGGGCTTGGGGCAGTCGGCACTGGTGATGGGGGCCGAGGGCATCTCGTCGTCGGAGATTTCCATGTCCTCGCCTGAGGACTGCTGGGCCTGCGGGGAGAGTGAGGGTGGGGTGAGGCCTGGAGGCCCAGCCAGCGCCTAGAATCCACTTCTCCAAGGAGCAGGAGAGGCGGCCTTCTGCGAGGGTCCCATTAAAAGCACCCGGCATTCTGTGTCCACACCCTGAGGCCAGAAGATCCAAGTCATGCCCGCTGACTCTCAGAAGGGCTCACACTAGAAAGAAGATCCCTGACAGGATGAGAAGCTCTGGTGGCCTAGTGCCGAGGAAACATTGCACTGCTCACCCAGAGGCATGAGTTCAAATCTACCACCTGCTCTGCGGAAGAAGGATGGGCCAGCTCCTCTTGTGGGAATTACCGCCTCTGAAAACTGGTTGGAGGGTCAGCTCTGGGTCGGTTCCAACTCCACAGCACACAACAACAACTACAACGAGAGACTGGGAGGGAGCTCTGATGGCCTCGTGGTAAGGGATTACACAGCGAACCACCAGCTGCTATGGAGAAAGATGGGCAGTCAGCTTGTCTGCAGAGCACCGCCTCTGAAAACCCGGGGGAGAGACAGCACACAACAACAGAATGGAGAAAAACATGGGCCAAAACTCAGAAGCACAAAACAGGCCAGTCTTGCTGGTCTGAGAGAGACTGGCAGAAAGCCCTAGACTCTGCTGTGACCCTCAGCCTCACTTCACACCCCCAGAACCATCTCAGGCTCAACTCAGCCTACAAGGTGACCCTGCAGGAGCGTCGGCTACAACAGCAACATAAGGTGGACAGGTACATACTTCTAAGGCTAACCAAGCAGACAAGAGCACAAGGTCAGAAAGCGGAAAGGGACTGGGAAGGACTAAAGGAGACAGGAAACACAGGGAGGCAGTAGGAAGAGCGCTGTTGACACATGGTTTGGAACTAATGTCACAAAACACAATGTGTATGAGATACACAGGACAGTGAAATTGACTACAACACCCAGAAGCAAATCCATCCTCCTACAGACAGAGGGAGAAAGACAGGCAACCGCTTCCTGTGAGATTTAAAGCTTCTGGAAACCGGCTGGCAGGTCAGCTGAGTTAGTTCTGACTTGACGGCAATGTGAGGGTTTTTTAATCAGGACAGCTGATCGCTGACGGAGATAAATAAATCTATGAACTGAGGAAAAGATAGCCTTGTTAACAAACGGTGCTGGAAAAACTGGTTATCAATTTGCAAAAACTGTCTATACATGAAAACTCACTCAGGATGGGTCAAATATCCAGGCATAAAACCCAAAACTATAAAGAGTATGAAAGGAAAAAAAGTGAGCATGAACTGGGAGCCCTAACCTCTGGCATAAACAGACTTATCAAACAAATAAAAATAAACACTCAGCACAGGATAAATGAAATTACTGGGACCTTCTGAAAACTAAATCTTTATGTCTGTCAGTCAAGTGACTTCTCTGAAACAGTGGAAAGAGAATTACAGAGGACGAAAAACTATTTGGCAACAACTCATCTGACAAAGGACTCCTCTGTAAAAGGCACAGAACCCTGCAACAGCTCAGCGAGAAAAAAGCCAGTGAACCCACTTACAAAGTGGGCAGACGACAGGAGAACACACTTTACTAAGAAGACACCCAGATGGTCCACAAACACCTGCAGAAACTTTCCAGATCATCAGAGGTCAGGTGAAAATCAAAACAACAACAGGGAAGAGCAGCTGACCCCAGCAGCAGTAGCAAAGTTCAGTAAGGCGGTAAGTCACCGATTCTGGGAGGCTGTGGGGAGACAGAACTCTCCTCTGCTGCTGGTCCGCTGCTGGTGAGACTGTAAAACGGTGTAACCTCTACAGAAAGCAGTTCAGCGCTTCCTTAGAAAACGGCAAGTAGAAATACATTTGATCCAGCAGTCTTCTTGCTAGGTATAGGTCGTGAAGAAATGAACTGCGACAGAGATACACGCACATCCATGTTCTCTGCCGCATCATTTACAACAGCAAAGGGACGAAAGCAAGCCAAGTGCCCGTCAGTGGATAAACATATGAGAACAACATGGTACATTCACACAGCGGAGAGCAATGCAGGCTGGGAGACACTCGAGGATCCAGTAAAGCACTGCAGGGCATGCCACCACCTCCAAGCCACTGCTGAGTCAGGTGAGTCAGCCACAAAAAGACACGTCAAAGACCGCTCCTACAAAAACTACAGGAACGTTTACATGCAGAGTCATTATAGTGACCGGACCCGGGGAGGGAGGGGGGAGGGAGGAAGACTAATTCATAGACAACGGACCTATATCAAGAAAAGTGAAGGAAAGCCGTAAATGGACGAGCGGCACGATACCACCGCAGAGAGAGAGAGGCACGGAACGATTAACAAATGGAAACCAGAATTCCAGAGAGGAAATGGGCCAAGTGGGTTACACCGTGGAGACCAGCGTTACAGAACAAAGCACGTATGCATGGTTGGATGGAAGGTTAGTTTGTTTTGTATATCTTCAATCCAGTTTTTTTAAATTGTTAAAAACAAATGGAGGAAAAAAACCCCATCATGTGTGGTAGCTCTGGTGGCCCAGTGGTAAAGGTTTGAGCTGCCAACCCAAAGGCACACGGTTTAAATCCACCAAGAGCTGAAAGGGAAAGATGGGCAACCAAGTCCCATGTGACTTCCCACCTCTGCTGAAGGTAAAACTTATTTGCTGTGTAAGTATTCACATCATTCGTAACAAAAAGTTTTAAAAACTGGCAAAGTTTTAAAAAATGAAAAAAATATGTTCGTAACTGGAGCTGTGCAATTCTGGCTGGGGTCCCATCTTCCCAGTCACATGGCCTTGGGTAAGGTACATAACCTCTCTAAGCCTCAGTTTCCCATCTCAGAGGGTAATCACGAAGATTCATTCATTCTCCATTGCTTGCTTGGCAGCCCCTTTGTGCCAATCACCGTGGACAAGAACAGATGTCTCGCTCTCATCAAGATGACCTTCTAGAAGGTAAAGGCAGAGAACCAGGAGGCATGTGAACTAGAGGAGGTGCCCAAGAGACCAGGCTGTGAAGAAGGCTGGCAAGCAGAAGGATCCCATTCTATTTTAAGAGATTTTGTTTCTATTTGTATTCAGAGAAGCTAATACTGATACAGTCACACACGTCTGCTCAGCTTCCATGATGCATTATGTTATGTGATTGGAACCTTGTAGCAACACCTTATTATATATAATCAAGCAGTCTCCAGGAGAGGTCTGTTCCTAAAGTCTGTCTTTGCCTTGAATTGGTACATATGTCAGAACAGTTAAGTACACTCATAATGAAAATTAGTCAAATCCTTGACTTAGCATCTAATGTATCTTTCCATGCATGAGAAACATTAAAGAAATACTTCCACATCCACTACAGCACTTTTAACATAATAAGAGCTTTGCCTCCAATCACAATGTAGCAATGCTTGTCAGTGGGAACTGTTGCATATACCTTGAATTTTTAACATACTGGGCTGTACAGGGGTTGGGCCTGTGAAGCTGGTCTCTGCTCAAAAGCTAGTTAGAAGGTGTGTGACTGCAACTGACAGTTGAGGGCTGAGTTACTCTCATCGATTTATGTGTTCAGTTCAGCTGAGCTTCAGAACAACCCTACAGGGTAGGTCTGTCACTTCCAGTCTTACAGATGAGGTGACTGGACACAGAGCTTAAGTTGCCTGTCCAAGGCCATGCAGCGATTAAGAGAAGGACCCAGGACTGGAAGCAGGAAGTTGGTTCCTGCCTGGACCAGCTAGCTGTCCTAGCAGTGAGGTTCGCCCCGGTGGTGGTCAAGCAGGTGATCAGTGGTGAGGGTCAGAGGGAGGAGCTCTGTCTTCACGCTGCCTGGCGGCTATCCTCACCCACCCCAGCGCAGAGCACTGAGCACACGCTGTCATGCTGTTGAGAGCGGGGCTGCCTTAGTTTCTACCTCCATTTAGCAGAATTGTCTCCCTGGAAGATGGGACTCCAGAATCCCACTGGTCAGATGAGCAGATGCATTTGAACAGTTTGAGGCCCCTGCCCCAGGGCAGCGGCACAGGAGGAAGGCTGCCTAGGATGGAGGGCAGATAGGGGCCAAGGAGGAGTCAGCGGAACTGACGAGGCTGTAAAGTGAGCAGGGCTCTGATGATTGAAAGGGAGGCTTTAGGGAGCAAGATGCAAGAAGCCTGGAATTGGAGAGGGTCTAGAAGCCCAGGTGGAGCTGGGAGGAACCAGGTGAGGGGGGAGAGAGAGAGGGGAGGAGAGGGCTCCTGGAGAGAGACCAGAGTCCTGGCTCTGGCCCTGCCCCGTGAGTGTTCAGGGAGCGAAATGACCTCTTCCTTTCGTGGCTGCAGGCAATAGGGAGGGTCTGGATCTGCGGTTTGGGGGCAGAGGGCAGGTGTGTGTGGCCGCTATCAGTGGTCAGACCTGCACGTGAGGCAGAAGGAAGTGGGAACAGGAAGGTCCGGTCTTGCCAGCCCCCTACAGCTCACACTCCCTTGCGTGCACGCGCACGCGTGCACACACACACACACACACACACACACACACAAACATGCACAAGTATACATCCTTACACACACACACCCATGCCATGTGCAGATCAGTGGACATGTCCCTCATATATGTTCACTCACACGTGCGTGCGCACACACCCCTGGCATAGACTCACATGCATGCACGCACCAGTGGTCACGCACACTCACACGACCCACAAATGCATATGCACAGACAGACATAAACAAATGCCACTCCGTGCGCGTGCGCACTCTCTCCCTGTCTCTGTCTCTCCCCCTCAAGTCCCCCTCTCTGCTCAGGGTCCCCATGCACAGACTGCCACCTAGAAAGCACAGGAAATCAGTCCAGGACAGACACAGCACACACAGGGTTAACCCAACCCTCCGCAGCCAGCCAATCAGGAGGAGAGCAGAGCCCTCAGGTCCGGCCCCTCCTCGGCCCCTCCCCCAGCCGCTGGGGGTGGGAACCCGGCAGGCAGAAACTGGCGAGAGGGGAGAGGGCCGGGTGCCCACCAAAGGCCGCTCTGCCCTTAGGGGAGGCCCTAGGGTGCTCTCCATCCCATTTGACAGGTGGCAAAACTGAGACTCAGAAAGGGAAAGTGCGTTCCCCAAGGTCACTAAACCAGTAAGTGACAGATCTAGGGCTCATGGATCAGGATTTTTAATTAATTAATCGCCCCGCTGAAGAAAGGGGGTCTCCCCCACCCCCGCCTTGCTGCCTGGTCCCCCTCTTCAAGGCAGGCTGGGACCTTGACGGATGTCCTGCTTCGCCCAGGAGACCAGGTGCTATGCTCCTAGCCGTCAGCAGGGGGGTGCCGAGAGCTGGCCTGAAGGCTCAGCTCCAAGGACTTGACTCCTAGGGGATGCCAGATGCCAGCTGGGTCTCTAACCCATCTCTACAGGGACAGCGCGGAGGAGCCCACTCTCTGGACTAGACTGGGCTTCCCAGCTAGTGGGTGTGCAGCAGCCTGTCCTCTGGGCCCACCTGTCACCACCCTCTGCTCCGACACCAGAAGTCACCTCCCTGGAAGGGCTGAGTGTGCCCCCAGCCCACACCCGGCACCTGCAGCCCCCTCTGGGCAGGTTCCTCTCTGTTCCTCCCTGAGGCATGAAGCCTGCTTAATCAAAGGGCTCTGGTCCCTCATGTGAACCGCCCACAGGAGCACTGAGCTGTGTTAGAGCCCTTGGGAGCTGTGTTAGGGCCCTCGGTGTTCATCCCCACTGGAGCCAGGCAGGACGAGGGCAAAGGGCCTGGTCCAGCACTTCATAAAGCCCTGAGCTGGTCCTTAGCTTCCTTTGCCCAGAGCAAGAGAGAAACTTCACTTCCTGAGTATACATACCCACCACACCTGTCACGGACTTCTATTACCCCAGGGACCACCAGGCTCCAGGGTCAGATCCATCTCCCAAGACGGTGCCAGATTCCAGGGAAGCACCCCTGAGCCACGAACAGAGAAGACCCTCAAAGCCATCACCCCAATCCAACACTGTGAAGTCTACTTAAAATCCTATCAGAGTGGCTCCGTCCAGAATTTCTCTCTGGGAAGAACTTGGCCAGGTTCCCTCTCTCGCCATGGCTGCCAGGAGCTCAGAGTCAACGCAGCTGTTGGGTCCCCACGCCTGTGCTTTCTGCATCCTCAAACGCTACACGGAAGCTGACCCTTGGCTTTCCTGATCCTGCTGTTTCTGTGTCTAAGCTAGCTATCACAAAGGTGTCAAGGGGGAAGGAGGGGACACATGACAGACACAAGCAAGCCGAGACACAGACAGACAGATATACAGACACACACAGACACACACCGAGACACAGACAGACAGATATACAGACACACACAGACACACACCGAGACACAGACAGACAGATATAGTAGTACCTCCTCCATCTTCTCTGAGCTTGGCGTCCTGTCTCCCACTAGATCTGAAGCCATATCGCCAGTCTGGCCCAGACCAACAGGGTCCGGGGGGCCTGGCTCCGGTGGGGGCCGAGGCCCCAGGCCTAGGTCCAGGTCATCGTCCTCATCTGAGTCTGGGAGAGGCGTGGGGCTGATGTCTTCCAGACCGGTGCTGGAGGGTCGCGAGGAAGTCGGCGTGGGGCCTCGGAAGCCGGGCTGGGAGTTGGTGCCAAAGGGGGCGAGAGGGGAGAGCTGGGAGGAGGAGGAGGAGATGGGGCTGCCTTCCATCTGCAGCTCGGTGTCCGAGTCCTCCTCCCTCAGGAAGGGCAGCTTGGTGCGCTGTTCCTTCAGCAGCATCTCAATGCGAGAGTCCAGGCTGTCATGGGGCTTCTCCGGGCCTGGGGGGGACGACTCCTGCGTGGGCGTGCCAGGGCTGTCACAGGGCTCCGGGCTCCAGCCAAAGGTCGGCCGGCCACCCAGCTCCATGCTGTTGCTGTCCGGAGGTGGGGGGCCAGGTGGGGTGCCTGGCTTCTCCTTGGCCACAGGCTCAGCAGGTGGCAAGGGTGGGGGTGCGGGCGCCCTCCGGAAATCTCCACCATCTCGGGCCCCGAAGGTGGCCGCTGCGGTGGGCTCCTCGGGGGGTGGCAGGAAGGGAGGCGCCGGGGTCTGGTAGGGAGAGAAGGCCGACTTGAAGGTGACCCCAGGAGTGGGGGCTGGGGCTGCTTGGGCAGGTGGCGGAGTGTGGGCGAACGTGGCCGAGTCCTGAGGCTGGGCCTTGTACGGGGGGCCGCTGCTGCCCCCACTGCCGCCGACCACAGAGAACGGGAGGTCGGAGGTGCCCCGGAAGGCAGCCGCAGCTGCCGCCACCGCAGTGACCGCCGCAGAGTTGTGGACATAATGGTGCTCGTGGCGCCGGTTGTAGGCGTCCGTGAATTTGCTCTCGTGTCTCCAGGGCTTGAATGTGGCTGTGGGGTCCTGGTTGAAAAGGTAGGAGGGAGTGGGCTGGCGGCTGGAATAGCTGGAGTCCTGCGAGAAGGGGGTGCCCAGGCGCGGTGTGAGCGGGGTGCCCTGCCCATAGGAGTTGGGCGTGTCAAGACGGCAGCTGGAGTAAGCCGTGTCCTGGGAAAAGGGTGTCCCTCCACTGTTGGGGGTGACGGAGGAGGAGCCGGAGCCACAGTCCTTGAGGCGTTTCAAGGCATCCGACAGCTGAGAACAGACAGAGAGGGGTGTGAGACCACCGGGAGGGCATGTGTCAGAGGGGCCGTGCTCCCTTCTCTCCAGAAAGCTCAGCGTCGAGGGACTGAGTGTCCTCAAACTGCAGCACAGGGAGAGCAGGGAGGACTTAGAAGAGCGTCGGGGCCCAGGAGTGAAACACTCAGCGGCAGCCCAAAGGCCAGTGGTTCGCACCCTGCACCTGCCCTTTGCGAGGACACGGCAGCCTGCTCTCCTGAAGAGTTATGCCCTTGGAAACCTCTGGGATGCTATGGGGTCAGAGCCAATGGGACGGCAGGAGGTCCCGGTATGGGGCTGGGAAGGTCCCAACCTTCTCTAACCCTGGGCCTGCCAGGAATTTTCTGGGAACCTTGAGAGCCTGTTGATGATTCTAGAGTCAGAAGAAAGAGGAGATCCTGTCTTCCAGTCTTTATGGTTGAAGTAGGAATTCCTTCTAGTCACAGGCTATCAGAAATCCAAGCTGTTTTAAGCAGGACAGTAGAGAAAACTGTAATCTGGGGATGCGGAGTGGGGGTACAGGGAGACAAATAGCTCGAATTCTGGAATTTTAGAGAGAGCAACATAAGAATAAACATTATCAGTGCCTAATAAAACCTCTAGCTGAGCGGCAAATAAGTAAAGACACTTCCTTTGGAAAAATGACTGAGGGTGGCCGGGTGGAAGATGGAAGCTGGGAATCCCTCCTGCCCCCGTGCGCTCTCAGCCCCCTGTGAAGGCTCTTACAGGTGTATGACTTGGGAGGCAGGGCTGGGAAAGCTTGCTCTGAAAGGAGGAGCCTGACTGCTTGCTGGGGGTCAAAGAAAGGGGTGCATTGTTGTTCTAGTACCATATTTCAAAATCAATGTGAAAAAGGAGGCATCCAGAGTGGGGTCCGGGTCTGTGGGACAGGATCCCCAGCCTATCCTGAGGGCAGGCTGGCAGGGGGGATTCAGGGGAGCTGAAAGCCACCAGGAACAGGGGAGCCACACTGCCCGGGATGCTGGGAATGTACCATCACACCAAAGGGGGATTCTGGGAAAAGACCACCACACTGAAGGGGGATTCTGGAAAAACAGCCTTCACCTGCCTCCCCCCAGCTTGCTGTGGGCCAGGTCAGGCTGGCTTCATTTTTCTAGACCTCAGTCTCCAAAGTTGGAGGAGGAGGAGGAGGAAGATGGGGAAGGGTGGCATCAGGAAGCTGGTGGCCAAGGACGAGGGCAAACCTACCTGCAGGGTCTCGTTCACGATTGGGGACACGGCGTCCAGCTCGCCCACCGGGAGGGTCTGGGGTGTGTATCGGCCAGTGAGCAGAAGTTCATAGAACCGCATACGAGTTTCCCCTGGGGGAGTGCAAGGTGGGTGATCATTGAGGTGCCTGGGTGGGGTCACCCACTGAGACTCCTGGAAATAGCTTTGTTCTCGCCCATCTTGCACTCAGTTGTGAGAATTTTCGTGTCCTGAGAATTGTTAGAAGGCCCCTATGCCCAGAAATGCCACCCCACTGCACAAAACCCTTTCTTAGTACCTGGCCCACAGCACTGGGGGAAAGAGGCTGGTTTCCCCCTTCCTCTGGTCCCCAGCTTATGGCTCAGGGACAAGTCACACTTGGAAGAGGAAGCTTGGTGACACTACCAGAGATACTACAATGTATCTGAGATGAGGTGCCCGGCCGACTTGGCAAAGATCATTACAGTGAGCTCTGCCTCCCTCTGGGCCCTGGATCACCAACTGTGCCCACGGTCAGGGGTGCTGTCTCAGAGCATGCCTACCCTAACATCCAACCATATGGGCAGACATTGGTATTTATAGAACACCCTTCTAGCAGCAGCTTACATATGCAAAGGAGCCACATTCCTTGAGCTACACTTTACTGATCTTTCTTGAAATACAAACTTTGTTGGCAGTCTCCGAGGGCCCCCTTTTTTTTTTTTTTTTTTAGAAATGCAATTCTAATGAGAAGTGGCTGCCCCTTAGCGTATGGGGCCGTGAGGGGGAGGAGCTTCCACGGTTGACTCGCAAGCAGAAATCACCGCAGCCACTCAGGAGTATACAGGTCCCCAGGATCTGTAACCCACTCCCGGTCCCAGAAAGGGGGCTATGGGGAGGGGGAGCACAAGTGGGCATGCCACTGTCCCCTGAGGAGATTCAGAACTAGGCACAGGCTAAGTAAATGTTTCTAAGTGAGCTTGCCAGACCAGTGGGGTCCCTTCCAGATCCCCCAGCCTGATTTAAAGCTCAGTCAATACATAATAATTATTAAAAACAACCAAGCAAGGGCTTGGGGGCTCCTGTCTTGGGATTGGTGTACCTGGGGTCCCCTGAACCCTGGTGCACACACAGCCCAGAAGCCCCTGCAGCCCCCACCACCTGTTCAGTCAGAGGGGTCCTCACACCAGCCAGCACCTCTGTTCCATTCCAGACTGCCACTCTCAGTCTCCACTTCTGGTGGGGACTTCCCAAGGTGTGTGTGTGGGGGGGTGTCACAGGCAAACTCCAGGGGAAACCCAAGAGTCCTAGAAGCCAGCTAGCCAGTGTCCAGTTAGGGAGGCAGCTAAGGGTCCCTGCAGTGGGAGGTGTGGCCTCCAGCAGGCAGGGCCTCGGAAGTGCTGCTGTCTCTTTAAGAGAGAGGAGGGAAGCCTCAGTGTCAGCCCTCAGCACCCAGCACAGCCCGCCCAGCTCTATCAATGAAACAACACTGAGGGCCACTGGGCTCCTGCTTCCGGGGCGAAGGGGCAGCAAGGGGGGGGGGAGCGAGGACACCTCGGGGATCTCAAAGGGCTCGCTTTTTAATGCAGGGACTTTGTCTTTCTGTACTTGAGGGGCCCCTGGTGCTCCCCACCATCTCACTAATAAACAAACCCTGCTTCCTCCCCCCCACGCATACAGCAGCACTGGGGACCGCCTAAGCCGAGGCCACCAGGGCGCAGCGAGGGGCCCACGGGGTGTCAGCGGTGGGGGAGCCTCCTGGGGGGGTCCCCAAGGGGGGCAGTGGCCAAGGATGGGCCCATTTGGTAAATTACAGCCTGTCTCCTAGCAACAGACAACACATTCAGCTCCACGTGACTTTACTACCCTCAGGGAGGGGGCAAAAGAGAAGGGAAAAAAAAGAGAAATCTGCAGGTCCAGGTGGAGCGGGGGAGAGAGGGGACCGGTAGCAGGGGCAGCAGGGGTAGGGGTCCCCCTGACAGCTCCGCGGCCCGCCCCCACCGTGGGCAGGCTGACGGTCACGCTCACCCTTGGTGTCCAGCTCCACGTGGATGATGTTCCCCATGACCGAAGTGCTGTGCAGATGCTGGACGGCCTCCCGGGCGCCCCTGACCGTGGCAAAGACCACCTTGGCGATGCCCAAGTGCTTCTTGGTCTTGGGGTTGTAGAGAATCTCCACCTCCTCCACCTCCCCATACTTCTTGCACATGTCCCGCAGGAAGTTTTCGCGGATGTTGTCGTTGAGCTTGGCAAATGTCACCTGCTTCGGAGGCACCGGGCCCACGTAGAACTCATCGATCTGGCGGGACGGGGTGCAGGGGGTGGGTGGGGTATGTTTGGAGGACGTGCAAAGCGAAGGGAAACACCATCTCCCCCACTCGCCCGCTGGTGGTAAACAATGAAGGTTAAAAAAATAATATGAAATCTTTTTTTATTTTTTTTTTCTTTCTCTCCAAAGAAGAAGGGGAAGAAGAAAAAAAAAAAAGATAAGAAAAAAGCAAGCGGGCGGGCCCGGGAAGCAGAGGATTAAATCGTTTGGAACGTGGAAGTCCTCTGGGTTCGGAAGGCAAGGGGAGAAAAGAAACAGTTTCTCTCGGTCCCCACCCCCATCCTGGCCCCCTGGTCCCGCTGCCCGGCCGGGGGTGACCCCCACCCCGAGCTGGGGAGCTGTCCCCCCTGCAGAAGCGGTGTCCGGGGAGGGGGGCGGGACCCCGGGCCCGGGGCCATCCGGAGCCCCCAGCCGGGCGGGCGGACCGAGTCGCGCCCCCGGCGGCGTCCCAGCGCGGCTCTGTTTACAGGAGCCGAGAGGGGACACCTCGGTGGCCAGCGCTCCCCCTCCCCAACCAAACTTTGCAGCCGGCCGGCGGGAACTCGGAACCCGGCCGGGCCTGGGGTCAGGGCTGGCGTTATTTTCGAACTCGGGGAGTGGGGGGTGGAGAGGGGCCGCGGGACCAGGGGGAGGGGTCCTCCTACCTTGAATTTGGGCACCGACAGCTCCAGCTCCTTGTTTTTGGTCCAGATTCCGACCACCCGGGGGTCCTCGACAATTTCCACCGGGCGGTTGCTGGACATCTGTAGGGAGGGGGGGGGTCCCGAGAATGGGAGGGCTGGCCCCACTCCCCAGGGTCGGAGGGCCAGACACCCCCCCCTTCTCCCCATGGCTCGGGCACTTGTCAAACTCCAGGTCCGGGGTCCCGGCTGACAGTTGGCCCCGTGGCCGGGAGGGGGATCCCCGGGCCGCGCTCCCCGGGGCATGGCTGGGGTGGGGGTGGCGGGGAGGCGCGCCGGCCACTCACCGCCAGGCTGAAATGCTGCCCATCGTAGCGGTACAGTTTGTGATGCCCCTTCTTGAGAGCCGGGTCAATCATCAACTTGTAACTTCTCCAATGGTGGTTCCTCCTCTCGCCCGAAGGGCCGGGCTGCGGCGGGGGCTGCTGGTGGTGGTGGTGGGGGTGACTGTTCTCCATGCCGTTAACCCAACCTGAAAACCAGCAAGTTGTTGTCGCGCCGCGCCGGCCGCCGCCGCTCGTCCACACACGCCAAAGAACCAGACCAGGAAGCCCCCACCCCCTCCCACCTTCCAGCGCGCCCCGAAAGGCGCTGTCTCCCCCCAAACAAGAATGAGGAGCTCCAATAAGCCTTCCGGGAGAATTACGCGCCCGCCCGCTCGGCCACCGTCTCAGGGCGGCAGCCAGGGGGTCCCGGGGGCGCCCGGCGCGGGCTGGCGGGGCCCGG